TACTAGCCGGTCCCCAACCGTGTACCAAATTTGAGCGCAATCGGCCCAACCGTTCTCGAGATCTGGGAGCGCCCCCTGCACGTGCGCACGTGCAGTAGCACCCTAACCGCAACACATGGGAATGCATTGCCTGGTGGGTGCCTACCTGTATGCCAAGTTTCAGCGAAATCGCCCCAGTAATTACCGAGTTATTAAAATGGGAACAAATTTGACACCTCTTATTGTTGTATTTTGCACGTGCACTGGGGGTGACCCACATGCATCGAGAGTATCCTATTTTTGGTAGAAGGGATGCTGCTACCCTACAAAAATTACCGCAAGTCAATCGCCCAAGCGGCTGCTGAGATATGAGCCTATCAAAATCACTACTTTTGCAAAACAGCTTGAACACCCTTGACTTTTCACGTGGCACGTGCCACGACGGTCACTGAGGTGTATCAAAAGTAGTCAATTACGGGGTAGAAAGGATGGGGCTACCCAGTAAAAAAGACCGCAGGCCAATCGGTCCAGCGGTTGCTGAGATATAAGCCTCTCAAAAGCGTTACAGGCCGGGCCGGGCCGGGCCGCTCATACTGAGATTTTTCCGTTATATTGAAAAGACTTCGCTTCGCTCGCTGCGCTCGCTCGCTCGTAACAACAGACACAGTAGGGTAGCCTGGGGCAAGACGCCCCAGATAATTTATTTTGCTACATAACTTTTGTCCCACATCACCTGGAAGGCCAAATTTGTGCTCAATGCGTTCTTAGGACATTTTACTTTAAATTCCACCCCTCAAATTCATTCGCTTATGATCGGACTCCCAGCTGGGAAGTGGTTTGTGAAGCAACTGCAAATAGGGCGTTTTGCCCCAACCCCAGGGCAAAACGCCCCACGGCCTGGGGCAAGAAGCCCCATACTCTAGATTAAAGATTAAACATGCTAGTTGACTAAATCTTATATGAGAGGTCCGTTAGACCTTGGGAGGCACGGCACTGAAGTTAGCATCTTCCATCCTGTCAGGTGTTCAGCTACGACACTATTGTATGAGCAGGTTTTTCACCTGCCTCATAAGGCCAAATAATAAATTATTGCAATACAAATGTTAACAAAATACTTCGTTTGCCATCCAGTTGCTGAGAAAAGTACATATAAATGCATAGAAACATACCGTTCGCCAGCTACCGAACATTAGGAAGTGGGTAGTCCGAACAACACATGGGGTAAAACGCCCCATGGGGCTTTTTGCCCCGCGACCTACTGGGGCGTTTTACCCCATCACGTAGTTCGGTCAGAGAACAACGCCTTGCACTCCAGGAAGACATAATTTAACACGAACCAACCCGGCATTATAAGCGTTAGACAATAGTTGTTCAAAATACATAAAAGTCGTTAACCTGATGTGGACGATAAAGGAACGCCATGATGCATAATCTGACAACAAAACATAAAAATCACTCCAAAAACACATTTTTGGCTATATCTCTCTAAAGAGTCATCACAATTTCTTTCCAGTCTGCTCATATAATGATCGTATAGTGCACGTTTTATAGAAGAGAGGATGTTTCCCCAGAACCTTGCCAGTTCCGAGAAACATCGGTGAGGCGTTTTACCTCGGCGGGGCGACTTGCCCCGGTCTACCCTACGTGTACAGAAAACCCTGAGGGATGTAGTACAGAGATCGAGAGGGCTCTATCGCCACGGAACGAAATAGCTCGGGAGTGGCCCCATGCTCGTCCCAGAATGGTAAAATCACATGTGCGGGCGAGGGTTAAAGAGTTATCTAATGCGCTTTTCTGAGGCGCTGTATTGTTCTATGTTCTCCTAAGTTACGACCCGATTTGTTAAAAAGGTGACTAAATAGGAAAAATGTGACCTCTGATGACCTTTGGTGACCTAACCCGGCACCGCCTGGGCTATTTCCGTACCCACGACAGCCTGGGGGGGGGGGGGTCGGATCCGACCCCCCCCCCCCCCCCTGTTATCTCGAGAACCAATGGTCGCATCGAGCCCCGCGAGGCGGCGTTCGAAAGGTCTCTACGAGACCTTCCCAAAGCACTCTTAATATTTTAAGATTGAGGTCAACTTTCGGGTCAAGGTCAGGTCAAAGGTCAAATTCTGGGGTTTTGCATGATTAGGCTTACGGACAGCGGAATCGATAGCTGCTGCTCGAAACTCACCAAAAATGACCTCAAAGGCCTAGTGAAGGTACCATGTGCGTATAGGGGTCATACTAAGTACGGGTCAAGGTCAGGTCAGGTCACGAAAGGTCACGGTTTTCACTTTCTGCTACATGGGCGTGCGACACATGTTTTATGGCTTATTTTTCACGCCGAATCCGATGTTAATGGTTATATGCGACCCCAAGTCACTGTGCTGGTGATAAGTGTGCATTGAAAGCATAACAAATCGTTTATACCATACATAACTAAACGAGGGCTGAGAAAAAAGGTCAATTTTTCAACTTTTTATTTTTGACATAAAAATGCATTATTGTAGACGAGCTTTGTCCCAGGAATCTAGTGGTGCCATTTGTTTTCACATGCGATGTTCAGAAGTGCCTCTAATTCACGAAAATGCTTATGACGTCACCATGCCCTATGCATGTTGGAGCTATTTTTTACAATTTGGTGGTCAAAAATCAAGATAGAAAGTTGAAATTTGGGACATCTAATGTTCTAATAGAGCTCTATAGCTTATATTCCGGTTTTTTGGAAATTCTCAAAATTTTGGATTTTATTAGCTGTTTTCCAAAAAATGTAGTTTTTTGAATTTTTAGGGGTGAAAAACGCATTTTATGGAAAATCCGAGATAGCCATTTTAAAGAACTCGTTGAGCTGCGTCTATTCATGTCCTAAAAATTTCGGAATTGTTTTCTTAAAAATTGCACAGAAGACGTCAAATTGATGGGGGAGAAGGTATGCCAAGTTTCAAGTTGATAGCGTAAGCGGTTCTTTGAGTTATTCAAGAAAAACGGAGGGGGGGGGGTCGGATCCGACCCCTCCCCCCCAGGCGGTCGCGGGCTAACCTTTGACCTAATCAAAAATTGACCGAGGCACGTTATCCATAATTTTTTGATGGTCTTTCAGACGCCGTTTGTTACTTGACGCGACTCATGAGAGCCGGGCTATATAGACGGCACATGTGGGATGTTCAAACAAACTTCGCCCGGCGAGGGTGGCGCCGAGCACTGGCCCGGCGGGGGCTAATGCAGTAATAACGCACACCTTTCAACTTATACCATCGCCGTGGTCCGTGGCGTATCTGAACGGCATAGGCGGCGGAACGAGGGGAGCACCGGGGCACCGTGCCCCCCTTTGATTTTGGCATTTTAACATTTAGCCCTATTGGGCGTTGAATGGTAAAATGGGACCAAAAGTCGGCAGTCCCCCCCCCCTTAATTGAAGGCGTTCCGCCGCCACTGCAGTGAACGGGGTGAACAAATGATGCATACCTGGAATAAAGGGTGTGTACGGTACCGTCACTACACTATGAGGGTACCATATTTCGAACGACCACCAGACCATGAGGGCCACCTAACACATGAACCGAACTCCTACTGAGACCCCTGTCAGCTTCTTTTCATAAAGTTGTGCATGTAAAAATGTTTGGCATTTTTGTGCACCTAAATGACCACTGAACCCTCCCGAATAATTATCAGTTTTATAACGACCCTGTCAAGCGCCACTGACGTCATATGACGCCACTGCGAGTGTGACGTCACCAAAGAATCTCAGCGATAACCGGCCGCAGCTGCGATACCGAGACCACGCCCGCGCCCACACTATCGCGGCTCACTCGCGAGAACTTTGGTCGGCGATCACCGAGGCTTCTCGCCACTCAGCCCGCTGCTGCCAAAGCGGGCTGTATGACGCAGAGGCCAGAGCTAATAATGACGCTTTGTCCAGCGCACAGTGGTTTATTCATATGAATTGATATAGTATTTGCTTGTGGGTCCCTGACGCATCACCGTGTCCTGACGTAAATCAGTGTCACTCCTGACGTTATCACCGTGCACCTGACGTCTGACCATTAAACTGACATCTGACCGTGTAACTAACGTCTGTCTGTGTAGCTGGCATCTATCTCTGTCCCTGACGTATCACAGTGCCCCTGACGTTATCACCGTGTCCCTGACGCTATCACCGTGTTTCTGACGTTATCACAGTATCCCTAACGGATCACCGTGTCTCTGACGTAACACAGTGTCCTGACGTTATCACCGTGTTCCCGACGTTATCACCGTGTTCCTGACGTCTGATCATGTAACTAACAGTAACGTCTGATCCCATGTCCCTGACGTATCATCGAGTCCCTGACGTCTGTCCGTGCCGTGTCCGCAGGGGCTGGAGCCTGAGTCAGCTGGTGTCTCTAACGTAGCTCCGTGTCTCTGAGGTGTCACAGTGTCCCTGATGTCTGTCCGTGTCCCTGACGTCTGACCATGCTGTGTCCGCAGCAGTGTTCGCCACGGGCCGCAAAATCCTAGTCCAGCCCACTGCCCAGCCCAGGCCCATGGGTGGGCTGGGGTGCCCCTGGGCCCGCCCGAGCCCATTCATGGTAAAAGCGTCAAAGCCCAGCCCGGCCCAGCCCGTCAAAAATGAATGGGTTAAAAATTATTGACACAGCACAGGTACCCAACGGCAGCAAAGAAACAATACTTTGCGAGCCGCATGCATAATTCACATTGCATGCGTGCTTTATTGACTCATTTTTTAGTCTTGCACAGTAATAAGCTATGTAGTTATAGTTTTTGTCTCAGTTGCGAACCCCTGACTCCACTTAACAGTTCCTGGCCCAGCCCATCCACAGCCCATCGATCCTTTATATTTGAGGGCCCAGCCCAGCCCGTAGCCCAGCCCAGCCCATGGCCCATTGGGCTGGCCCGGCCCATGGCGAACACTGGTCCGCAGGGGCTGGAGCCTGAGTCAGCTGGTGTCTCTGACGTAGCTCCGTGCCTCTGAGGTGTCACAGTGTCCATGACGTCTGTCCGTGTCCCTGACGTCTGACCATGCTGCGTCCGCAGGAGCTGGAGTCTGAGTCAGCTGGCGTCGGGCGGCTGGCCTCCCCAGGAGCCGGTGGTTCTTCTCAGCTGGCCGACGCCCGTCGCCACACTCGAGGTGTCGCGCCAGCTGTACGCCTACCTGGAGACGCCGACAGCTTACTGCCGCCGACTGCAACTGCTCGGCGGCAGCTGCTCCTCCTCCGGCGCTCTCTCCGGACACACGCTGCTCTGCCGGGACGACGCGTACGCGCCCGAGTCGGGCCAGTGTCTGGTGTACTCGGCCAGCTCGGCCGGCGAGTGGAGCTTCGCCAGGGACGCGGCGCGCTACCAGTGCGAGGTGCACGTGTTCGACCCGGCGCTGACGACCAGCACGCCGCGGCCCGAGCACACGGCCGGGGTGCAGTTCCATCGGCTGGGACTGGCCGGCCGCGGTCGGACCGAGACCGGCGTCCAGGCCCTGACACTCTCTGAGCTGAAGGAGAAGGTGGGGCACGCCGGCCGAGTGATCGACTTTCTGCGCGTGGACGTGCAGGGCGACGAGTGGGGGTGGCTGGAACGGGACATCGAGGCGCTGTCCGACGTCCGCCAGCTGGGGGTGCGAGTCTACCTGAGTCTGGACAGCCTGCGCCGCCACCACGGTCTGCTGTGGCAGCTGCAGGCGCTCGGCCTGCGGCTGGTCTACTCGGCAGCCGACAGCGCCACCGGCCGCGCCTGGGACGTGGAAGGCGTAGACGGCAAGGTGGCTGTCGTCTACGACCTGGTGTTCATCAACCGGCGCCGCTGCCGGGCAACTTTCGGCTGCGGGGCCTGACCCATAGCTGGAGGAGGGTACTGGCTGAGCTAGTAGCAGAAACTGACAGAACGTACGGGAAGTGACTGAATGTGCGGAAATTGAGCGAACCTGCGGGAATACACCGAATTTGCGGAAGTGGAACGAACGTGCGGGAATGAACGAACGCTCAGGCATTGACTGAACGTGCGGATATTGCACGAACGTGCGGGAATTGACTGAACAGCTGTATACGGAACATCGACTGGCATAGTGGTCAAGCCTCACTGACCGAACTGACGAAAGGTGTTGGCAGAACTGACGACAGAGGTTGGCTGATTTGGGTCCAGGCTGTCCGTACAGGGCAATTAATGGGAGGCCGACACGGCCAACGCATGAGGCGGCCTGTGGCGAAGTAGCCTTTGGAATTAGACAGAAGCAGACGCAGGCTCCGCCTCCGACGAAGCAATCATAGCAATGTATGTATTGTGTTGATTATAATGAGGATGAGTAGCTGGCTCATACTGCCATCTGTTCAGGTGAGCTCGTACCAGCCTCCACAAATACAGAGCTTGTGATGCTGTACCAAATGTCGTCAGTAAGCTTTAGGTTAACCCGCGCCCGGCTGGGGGTCCTGGATTTCCACGCCCTGCTGGGGGGGGGGGGGGTGTTTGAACACCCCCCCTTGTAACTCGGCTCCTGGGCCACGTAGCGATACGCGGAAGGCGGCGTTCGAAAGAGCGTCAAAAATAATGACGAAGTCACTTCCGTCAATTTTTTGGTCAGGTCAAAGGTCAGGTCACCAGAGGTCATTGAAGGCAAAATTTCGCCGATTTCCAGGTCGAATGTCGAAAATTTCCAAGAAGCCAACGCCTAACTCGAGAACCAATAGAGCTACAGCGCCGCGGAAAAGCGCATTCGATAGCCCTATTAAAGCCCTTTCTGAGTAATCCTCTCAGATTTGACCTAACGTCAACGGTTTTGCCTGCAGGGAGCAAAAACTGCAAAAATAGCTGATTTTTTCGGAAACAGTTTTTCTGCAATAGCTTTTGACCCAAGCCTTGTACGAGCTTACTTTTACCGGCATTGTGTTCCTCTTGTCAAGACGCATCGAATGAACTATAAGTTGACCTTGAAAGGTCAACTTGAAAATTTGACCTCAGGTCAAGGTCATGACCTGACCGGAAAGGGTCATGTTGCATATCAGTCGATCCGTATCGTCGAGCTGAACACATCTAAGGCGTTTTCATCGCTCTAGCATGCCTCTATCAAAAGTTATTTGCGAAAAACTGTTAGATACCATTCGTGACCTAAGATGACCTCAGGGCATAAACAAGGGTCACGGACACCATTTTCATGTTCATTGTGTCTAAACCACTTGTAATTCGGTGTTTGGGAGTGTTTATAATGTCTTTTGTCCAAAACAGGCGCATTTCAATTTTCTCCCATTGACTTATAATGGGGAGGTCGCAAAATTGACCTGACCTTAGGTCATCAATATCAAAATTCTGAGATATACATTTTGTACATGCTATTGCTCTTAGCAATCGCTGAAAGTTTCAAAGCGATCGGTAACTCGGTGTAGCTATGACAGACATTGAAACTTTTTATGAGGTGAGGTCACTTCAAGTGACCTGGTGACCTGACCTTGAATGACCTTGGTCTGAAATTTTCACAACATGTGTAGAATTGATGTATGATAAGGTGTACCAAAAACGGCGGCGCTCCGCGCCGCCGTTTTTGAGATATTCCCGAAAAACCACAAGGGGGGGCGTTCAAACACCCCCCCAGCAGCGCGCGGGTTAATGCAGTTAGACAGGTTGAGAAGTAAAGGAAGCAATGTCCTGTCGTGAATCGTTACTCGGGAATCGTATCGTCATAAAATCGTTAATTGTAAATCGATATTCGTTATTAGATTAAAATAGTTGCACTAATTGCCCGACATTTCACTTAATTAGCTTCCTCAACGTCTGGTATACAAACATAGCCATTTTGGCCCCGCCAAAATAGCCATTTTGATTTTCATTTTTGAATGTTTGCATACCTACTAAAGCGAAGCATTGGGCAATTTATGTATCAATTCTACCGTAGTTGCGATTTAACGACTAACTATTTACAACTAACGATTTTATGACGATTCTAGAGTAACGATTTATGAAAGGTCTTTTCTGCATTTACTTCCTCAAGCTTTAGGTTTGATATCGTGTCACCGCTAAAGTGTGACGCGGAATATGTTCGTTTAGCCATCGTGTGTGCCGCGAATCTGTAATGTTTCGCATCACATCGTATTTATAAATAAATGTCCAAAGGCGAATATTCAGGAATTTCTTCCAACGTTTTTGTTAAATACAAAGAAACGCTATTACGATTTTAGTCATAATAATACAAGCCACGTCGGTCATAGGGAACACTATGGGGAAGAATAAAGGGCATCTGTCTTGAAGGCCTGTTATTGGAATTAGCTATAATAACTATATAAATATTTTTAAAGGCATGCATGAATTGCCATTTACACTGTGATATGGACTTTTCGTTATTGTAACGAACCTTAGCCGGTCACATAAACTTTGACATAGTTGGTTGCGGAGTTAGTCACATTTTGTATCCGATTAAAAAAAATGCTTTTTCTCTTCCCATCTTATTGCTTGCTGCTGATGTGTCTAACAGATAGGTATGAAATGGACGAGCATGAAATGCTGCCGCAAATTTATTCAAACTCTTCGCAAAATTGTCGAGAGCATACAAGATCAATTACGTTATTATTTTATTAATTCGATCGATGACACGATCCCTTGTCACCGTCCATCCCCGTAGCCCTCCGCAGCCGCCTGGCCTGTGGTGAAGCCGTTTAGGCCGTGTTGCAGCCGTTTAGGCCGTGCTGCAGCTGTTTAGGCCGTGCTGCAGCGGTTTTGAGCCGTGTTGCAGCCATTTAGGCCGTGTTGCAGCGTGCCGTGCGTTTCTCGCAGCCGGGAGGGATGACGATCGATCGTGGTACACCGGGCCTGCGCCCTGGGTCTCTTCTGACCGGCACGTGGTCTGGGCAGTTCTCCGCCGGCGCCGGACCAGGCTGCGGCACCGGCCGCGCGGGCTGGACAGCGGACACGCCTGTTAGGACCACCCTGTACCCTGTGCACAGTGCGGGCGGCGGTGGAGAGAGGGAAGGGCGCTTCGAGCGGTAGCAGAGGGCGGAGAGGGGCGGCGCGAGCGGTGGCAGAGGGCGCTGTAGACCGCCTCCCCGCCCGGCGGGGGCGCTGTGCCGCTCACAGAGTGCACTGGAGGTGACTGGAGGTGATGGTAAAAGTGCCTGCACATCGGATAACCAGTGACCGACAGAAAGACCAAACTGAGGCAAAGTGAAACAGGACGCTACCCGACAATGGTACAGGACTGGGAACTGTGGAAAAGACCAGGTATATACGTACGCATGATATAGCCTTATGTATGACCCACTCCACGGTTGCACTATGTACCTAGACCTTAATTAGTTTCACACAAAACACACTCGATTTGCACGCAGCCGACGGTTCATGCTTTGTCAAAACTGACCAGTTATTGGAACTGCAATGCATGTTAAACACTAACTTATATACCTATCACTAGATGGCAGTAGTGACGAACGCCTGAGTGCATGCTGCACCGCATGGCACATCTTTGGAAGCTGCATACGATCCCGCTAGTAAATGGCTTCACCGCTCGCCATGAAGCACCAGTGAAAATAACGTGGCGCATTCAGCAATGTTTCGATTTCAGCTAAATCTTTGGGCACGCTCTCTTACTACAAATGCTTATTCCATTCGGACTTTAGACCATCCATCTGAAATGATTAAAGAACAGCAGCTCCTTCTTACGATAAGGATCGGCCATGGAACCACTTAGTTAGGGTTTACCTGGACAACGAGCACCACCCCATGCTAAAAGCAGTGGTCCATAAAGGTGAGTCATTCCTACATAAAGAGCTCCTCGCCACTCCTTTGACTCATAGGCCAGGTGACGAATGGCTCGCAAATCGATTGCAGGTGTCTCGCCCCACCTTAGTTTCTTACCTGCGACAAAATCGATATGAGCGGAATGTCTATGATATAGCTGTCTAATATTCAAATTGATTTTGGACTTTGGAGCCCTTACTAATGGGCTTTCAAAGGCCATACGCTAGCCCTCGCCGGGCCTGGGCTCATTCGTACTCATCTCAAAAAGCCGAAGGCCAGGATGCGGATGGACCGATATTGGCCGTTTTCACGACGGGCTATCCAGCGAGTGCACCTAATTTGACCAAATCTGCACCTAATCTCTTTTACAGCAAATATCTGTATTTTAGGAATTTATTTCAGTGTTTTCATCGGATACTCTGATAATATGACAAAGCAGGCATATAAGCAATTAGTGCAACCCTAGCTGATAGCTAGTAAGAGACAAACTGAGCCTGATTTGACCAAATCTGCACCTAATCTGCACCAAATGTGCACCAGATGTGAACCAGATGGCCGTCGTGAAAACGGCTATTATATACCTATCTATGAAGAAGCTGTTCTTTTTTTACGCCAGAAATGATCTAAGGTCTCTAGCACATGACAACGTAATTTTCTATATATTACCTGCAATGTTAGCTGAATAACTGTTGTGTTGTTGACCTCGCTTTAGGCCGTATATGTCGTAACTGAGGTCATCGGAGTTTGTTTTGTCAAAAGCTCCTGATCAAATTTAGCTAGCGAGTTGAAAAAGCCACCAATGAACTCAAGGAGACCTGTTGAATCGAACCCGAGTGGTTCTAATCTGACCGCTTGACCTGAGGTCAACACTTGGACACTCTTAGCCGACCATACACAAATAAAAAGTATATCATTCGTCGCACCTGAGCATGGCGAAGACGATGCTTCCCAAATCACAGCTCTAAGGCCATTTTTGGCGAAGCGACTCACCAAAAACCAAACCCTGACCCTGAGGCACATGACCTGACCTCAGAGTTCACCGATTGATCTGAAACCCTTAAATCGGTTACTGGTCGCTGCGTCTTGTAACGGCGCAGACGCTCGTTTTTTTCCGCAAGGATCTAGCTCAATTAGATGTGGAACGGCAAAGGAGGAGGACCACTAACCCCGATCCCTCGACCGGGGAGTATGGCATAGAAACCGACAGGTTCGGCGAGGGATGAGGGTGGCCTAAATGGGCCAATAAAGATGCGTCACATGACCAGAACATGATGAACCGTTTACAGCTTTATAATTCTGTGACCTTTTGTGAACTAGCCCAACCTTATTTTGACCTGAAACATATAATGTGCAGACTCGAACACACACAAGGTACTTACAGGGTGAGCCATAAAGATTTACCCATCGAAAATTTCACTTTCTTTCAAGGCGCGCTGACATAGCTATGTCATGTTTTACATACATATAACAACGTCATCTCCTAACTAATAAATGTAGTCTGTTTTCTGTATGCTCGCATTCTTCTTATGTTACGCGCCTGAGACGCGAGAGCACTATGGCACGCGGCCGCCGCACCGTCTTTTCACTTATTTTCCTCGATCATCCATGCTGTAACAATGCTGCACCGTATGTCATTTGCGGTGTTTCAGGGACTCGGTAGAGTAGGGTTTTCAGAATATTTCAGTTTGCGAAGCCCGTGGGGCTGAAGTCGGGGATAAATTGTGCCCAGCATCACTGAGAAAACAGTGTCCCGATTTTCGGGCTCAGAGACCAGTTTTCGGGCTAATGTACCATATTCAAAACAGACAGCACATTTCGAGAATACTTTCTGAGCTAGCGCCACATGGGCTCATACGATCCCTTAAATCGGTATCATTGATCGCAGAAACAGAGCTCAGTCAGTACCCATTATCGGTGTCAAGCTCTAAAACTAGTCTCACTATGATACCAGTTTTCAGCCTGATCCCCATTTTCGAGCTCACCTGATTCCAGTTTGAGGGCTCAAATTGTGTGGTGAAGCCAATATTAGGGCTCACGTCATCGCTTTTCGGGGTTTTGGTAAAAGCTGGATTGCGTCAGCTGGCTGGCCAGCTGGCGACGCACGAAAGGTATTTAATTTTAGATATACCTAAGCGCGGTAGTAGGATGGACATAAATATTTCAAATGGCTTTAAATGAAAAATTGATTGGTAAATATTCATTCTTTTATATCTAGCATTGATATGTAAGAAGCTCTGCTAGCGCCACCATACGGCGCCAGCTGGCAAAAAATCCAGTTAATACCAGAGCCCGCTTTTCGTCCGATGCAGCCCCTCCTCCCCCCCCTCCCCCGTGTCCAGCAGCTGCGAATAAGACGAAGCCGCGGACAAACTTTTTTTTTTGCTCGGCCAGCCTAGCGCCAGTCTCGAGCGGTGGGACAGTTAACCGGCAATTTTGACCGGGATGCAAAAGTTACGTTAAACCGGTTTATGTTAACCCGGGAGCAAATAACAACGTGGGAGCCTATCTTAGGTGTGGCAAAGCTAACGGATTACTTACTTGTTGCCGAGGTGCCCAAAGAAGGTACTGGAACCGAAAACACAACATTGGTTCATGTATTTATTAACATTCATACACACAGTCATACTTGTGCAAGGTGTCAGTGTTCGGTTGTGGGGTGTAATAGCCAGGGAAAAAGTTCTATGAACTGAAAAACCCGGCGCCTATTACTTCGCAACATGGTTGTGTATTCAACATGAACTGCAAGGAGTGCAGACGACATTGCCTGTGCTAACTTAACGTCTCACGGGCAGCGCCGCGCTCTGACACCTTGGTCCCAGAAGCGGCGGCGTTTATGACCGCAAATCGCCGGAGAGCCGGTCGACGCCGTTGAGGGGACTGAGCAGGCCGCTGCCAGCTCCACCTTCACGTCCGCGCGGCGCAGCTCGGTGTGCGGCGGCGGCTCATCGCGCGGGCCGCACCCGTCCGTCCGCTGCACGAGCCGCTTTTCGATCCGACAGCGCAACACCGGCACGCCATTGTGCTGGCTGAGCGGCGGCAGCGGCACGTAGGCAACAAAACAGTAGAAATCGATGGGCCTGGATCGGCGTTGCCAGCAACGCCGGCAGCGGCGCGGCGGGAGGCGCCAGTGCCGCCGTCGGGGACGTGTGCCCTTCGCTGCGCTCATTCGAGTTGGCCGGCCGGCCGCGCGGCGTAGTCCTTTTGACACGGTGCGAGAAGAGCCGGATGAAGGTGGACTTTTTATTGGCGTTGCTGGTGCTCACGCCGCCGGCGTCCAGTTTGGGCGGCAAGTCCGAGTACCAGGAGTCGGACAAGTCCCGCGCGAACGCCGCCAGCCGGTCGTCGTCACTGCTGGCGGCGGCCCGCCGACGGCGCTGCCTCAGAATCGGACGAGTCGGTGGTACTGAGCACCTCGCGGGACGGGTAGCTGGGAGTGGGCC